GGGCCGGGCCGGGCCGGGCCGGGAGGCGGCGCGGAGGTCGCTCACCGATGCGGGGACCGGGAGGCGCGGCGGCGGAAGGCGGCGGCGCGCATGCGACCCGCAGGTAGGGCCGGGCCCGGGGACGCGTGTGCAGCCGGCGCGGGGCCCGGCAGGCCGCGGAGTCGGGGCCGCGCCTGCACTCCGGGCGCCCACCGGCCTGAGGCCCCACTTGCCGCTGGGTCGCGGTCGCGGCCCCCCAGCCCCTCCCCAGGGGTGCGGGTGCGAGGGGCGGGCCCGGCACTGTCGCTCTGCCCTCTTGCAGGCGCTGGCGAGCTGCCCGCCCGCCCGCTCCGCGGGTGAAAGATGCATCGCGGAGCGCGCCCGCGCCGTGGACGCCGTGGAGACCGCGCAGACCGTGGGGACCGTGCACGCGCGTTCCTGGCGCCGTCGCCGGCCCCCGGGAGACTCCCGGCCGCGACCCTGTGGCTGCAGCTGGCGCTGTGCCTGGGCCCCGCGCAGCTCACGGCCGGTGAGTGACCCCGCCCCGCTCCAGAAACCAGAGCGCGCCAGGTCCGCACCGCGTGCTGCCCCCGTCCCCTCCGCAGCTTCGATCCGACCCATTTTGGCCGAGACGGAGCGGGGCGCCTGTGATCCCCAGAGCCCCGCGCGGCGGGCTCGGAGACCAGGGTGCAGCCCCTGGATTGGCCACAGCTGCAGAAACCGCGGGAAGGCTGCGGTCGGCCCAGGCAGGTGGACTGAAAGTTAACTTCTCTGTCTCGGGAGGTGGCTGTTCTGCTGGTCGTAGCGGGCACGGGCTTCCCGCAGGTGCAGTCCTGGTGCTCAGCCCGCCGGTCTGGCTGAGGGGCCACCAGGGCTGCTCTGTGAGCTGAAGTTAGCGGGATGGCGTCAGTGGCCCCTGTCTCCTCGGGCTCCTCTGTCGCACTCAGCGGCTGACTGGGCGCGCTGGAGGGAGGGAGACGCAGTGTCCTGGCTGGACCTCAGAGCTCAGGGTGTCCCGCTCCCACTGCCGCAGGCGTCCTCGCAGGCGTCCTCCCGGCCCAGCCCAGATTAGTCGGGGTTCAAAGAACAGAATTGTGTTTCCAGAGCTGAGATACTGTTCATATGTAAATAAATGAGTGTTGGTTGAAAAACAAGTATTGCTTGGTATAAATAAACCATTTTCGTGTTTGAAAATATTGCTACTTCAGAAATCCGAAAGTGAAGATGGAAAAAAAATGAGTGAAAATTAGCAAAAGCGGGGGAGGCGAAAACCGAGTTGAGCCTAACACACAGTAACACACAGCCGTTCCGCTTGGACACGGGAAAGATCCAGAGCATAAGGGCATTTGTCATGCCCGCGTCTGTCAGAGTCAGGAAGAAAACAGTCTCCTTGGGTGGGGATCCCTTATTTTTCAATAACTAGCTGTTTTGGTCCTCATATTTTCTGTAGAAATGTCTCTGAGGAGGCACTCTCTTCACAGAGGACATGGTCAGAGGAGAGGCCAGCCCAGCGTCCGGTGGCCTGCCAGGTCTCTTGCCAGGCCCCTGCCCCTCCCTGAACACCAGGCCTGGATCCCCTCTGCCCCGTCCTCTGGCCTTTCTGTCCCCACCTCCATTCTCACTAGCCAGGTCCTCCTGGTCTTCGGCACCGGGAGGATGACAGAGGAGACAGCTCATCCACCTGTGGCCGGACCCTGTTACTGGACGTGTGGAGGCCGAGGCCTTGAAGGCAGCCTGCCTGCCGCTGGTCCTCCCATCCTTTTCTCTCCTTGGCCTGAGGGGACGGCTGGGCAGAAAGATCCCGAGCCTTGGAAGCTCTGGAGGGCGGGTTGGGGCTGTGGAGGCCTCCAGGGCCCAGAGCCTTCTCCCGTGGGCTCACCATGCTGTGCAGAGCCGGGCGCCAGCGTGGCCTTGCGGGGGCCTCCTTGGTGAGTGTGCACCTATGGCCCCAGGTGCACACAAAGCAGAGATTTCCTGTGTTAGGACAGAGACCCACGAGGAGGGCCCAGGACGGCAATAAGGCTCAGCTGTGTTCCGAAAACACTGGTGAGTGCTGGAGTCACCCTCAGCCCTTTAGCAGGCAGATTCTGACTCTGTGGCTCAGGGGTGGGGCCCGAGGTTCTGCATTTCTAATAAGCACTTGCTGCGGTGCAGTGCGGAGCCCACACGCTGATTAGCAATGGTGCGCTAGACTAGTGCATTCCTTGGTAATGTGCTCTGACTCCAGACTTTCTGTCATGGCCTCTGTTAGCAAACGCAGATGGCTGTGAGGCAGAAGTCACCCAGTGTCATCGTTAGGGGAAACACAGAGCGGATGACCAGTCCTGAGTGCGTCCTTTTTTTTTTTTTATCTCCAAAAAGGTGTCTGCTTAATAGACACTTATGAAATGTGGGTTTTCATTTTTGATTGCTTTCCATGGAAAAGGAGCATCGCCATTGCAAGATATAATATCCTCGGCTGGGAGGCAGATGCGTGTGTCTGTCTAATACAGGCGTTACAGAAAAGCCTGAACCAGAGAGGGAGAAATAGAGAAAACCCTCAGACAAAGAGAGGGGGAAGAGCTCCTTCAGAACCGAATGCTTCGTCCTGGAAAGCCAGAGACCCAGTTCAATATCTCGAGCCCCAAGCAGGCATGGGGTGACTTCCGGTGGTTATCGCCAGGCTGGCTTGTAAATTACAAGGGTCCTCATTTGGAACCACTAATGTCAATTTCCCTGAGGACCCTCCTGCACAGGTACTGGGGTTGCAGGCCCCTGCTGTCCCTAGAATCTGTGTGGAGCAAGCTCCAGGGCTTTCTCTCTGCCCAGGTCCCTGGAGCCTGCTGGGGTCAGGAGAGGCCAGAGGGTCTGCCAGGATTGACAGGAGGGAGCCACACACGGAAGGGAGCAGCTCTTCCCTCAGGGTGAACTCCTGTGTCATCAGAGCTGCCCTGCCGCTCCTAGCTGTGGGGTCTTGGGCCTTGCGCATCGTGGTTTCCTCATCTGTAAAATGAGGATGATGACGTTCAGCTTAGGCCTTGTGGTGGCCAACCTGGGACATGTGCCGTAACAAGCTGTTTGTATGATTGAGAGCTCTCAGTGGTTCGCTGCCACTGGCTTTGGGCGTTTGTGTGAGGGGCAGGGAGTGCTGGGGCAGAAGGGTCCGGCGGGGTTGTGCCGGGAGCGCCCCACCCCGCCCGCGCCAGCCGTGTGCAGTGTCCTTACCTGGAGACCCCTCCCTTGCGCTCCATTGCTTGCCCGCTGAGCAGGTTGCCCTTTGAAGCAGTGCCATGACCGTGTCCATTTCCCGGCCGTGAACCCCCTCCCTGGGCTCCTGTTGCCCCAGGGTGCAGCCTGCCTCGGGGTACTGGCTCATGCTTCATAGTGCCGAGGGCAGGAGCCCAGACTTGCTCCTCTCTGTGCCCCAGGCACCCAGCGAGCACCTGACTCTGGACCCTCAGCCTCTGTTGAGGAAGGCAAGAGGAAGCTTCCCATGGCCGTTTGGACCTTGGAGCACAGTTACCGGGTTCCACAGCGGCTGAGGTCACAGCCAGCTGGCGGGGTGGGGAGTTCAGAGGAAAAGCGGGATGGCTGCAGAGAAGCAGGGGGACTTGGGTGGGCTGGGGTGTCCCAGGCAGGGCGCCTTGGTGGGCACAGGTGCACAGGTGGTGAGGGTGGGCTGTGCCTGCAGGGCCCCGCCCTGGCTCCAGGAGCCGTGTTGAGGACCCTGAGGGGCCACTGAGGATTTAGGTCAGCAAGCTGGCTTGCCCAAGTCCCCTGACCACTGCCCCTCCAGCACCGTGTCATGGTTTGAGGGCTG